CCATAAACAAAATTAATTTCTAATTTAATTCAAGCACTTTCAAGGACCTATGTTTGTTTTCAAGTACTTTCCAGGCCTTGAATCCATATGTCTGAAATTCAAGTACTTTCAAGAAGCGTGGGAACCCCGTATTTTCTTTTCATCTCATCTCTGTATAGTTCGCATTAAAGCAGTGTTTCAGCACAGTGCTGCTTTGTTTACAGCGGTAACCAAGGAAACGCTGTATCTGGTGTTCCATGAGCGCCTCCTGCTGTCAGAGAGTGAATCTGCATCTCATTCAGAGCATCTGCTGTTTGTTTCGTTCAGGCATGTAGTATAATTTCACAAAGCTAGTCAGAACATTGTTTTTGCTTCAAATTGGATTATTATTCAATCAAATTATGTATATGAAATTATATAACTAAATTATATAAATGATATGTATATGAATTACATAACTTAAATTAAATAACTGTAATTACAGATTTAGGTTAAATAAAGATGTCAGTCTTTATTTTTCTTCTTTTTAGGAAACACATCAAAGAAAAAATAAACAAATTCTACTGTTCCTAATATTCTGTATGTTGCTCAAAAACAAAATATATTGTGTTCAGCAGAAAAAAGTTTTGTTTTTTTACCCAGTCATTTAAAACACAACACATTTTAGAGCTGTAATGATATTTTTGCTTAAGGTTTATCATACCGTCAAAATCTCATACCGGCCCATGCCTAGTCAATACTCACCAAATTTTAAAGTTTAAAGCCACCAAATTTAATATACTCTCCTGTGTGATTTGTTTGTCAACCAAGATGGCTGATTCTGCGTTATGAATAGTCAGATTGCCTGTCAATCAAGCTCTTTGTGAAGGGTCAATTGTTCTAGTGCACACCCATACCTGTTGTTCTTGTGGAGGAACCGTCTTGCTATAATGGACAATATTGCCAGGGGAGGGAGCCCTGGGGTCTCCACTTTCAGGCCACGAGCTCTTGCTGTCACGCCTCTCCTCTTCTCCTTCCTTCCATCCCTCCTGAACACCAGTGTTTCTTGACCGCATGTGATCAACTTTAGTCATCCACTCCCTGTGTTTCAGCAAGAAAGAGTTTTATAGGGCAAATGTTTACTACTCCCAAAAAAATTTATAAAATAAGTCACAAAGATGAGTGCTTACCAGTTATTGCCTTTCTCCTTAGCTGAATGGTTCTCCTCATCATCACTAAAGTTCAGTTTCTCAGTATAGTCAACTTCCATTTGAGCACCTAAATAACAACAAAAATGGTGACTCAATTAACAAATGGTTTAAATACAAAATGAAATGTGGAAATGGCTAATAACCCAATTTATTATAAACTTTATAATCACTTTATCTGATTAATTGTTATCTTCTGATTTGCTTCCATGACCTACTGAATATAAAAGTATTCATAACATGAATAAGTACTTTGTAAAATATGTTAATTTTTTCACCATGTAAATGGTGCAGAAACCTCGACCAATTGACGATTTCTACTGTTGCACTGTACTAGGGATTGCCACAAGGAAATTTCGATCTTTACAGCTTTCGAATACTGAATTCTTGAAAATTATAAATTCATTATTATGCTTAATTATTATTCACAACAACAATAAAACAGTACAATGACAAACTCACTTAAACATACTTACAGCAAAAATAAGACAGTTGACATACAGAACCCCACACATAACATGCAGACAAAAATCTATTTGTGTCCACAAATTAAGAATTTGTTCCTACGACTTAGTAAATTTAAATGAGGGAATGAATTAGTATGAGGCCACAATTTAATAAAACAAAAGCTTTCAGTTTATAATTTTAATGTCTATTGTTTAACTAAACAAAATACCTTTTATTTCCATTAAAAAAAAAAAAAAAAAAAAAAAAAAGCAGAACAATGGTGGGCAAGTCATTGGCCACATTCACACAGCAGCAGAATACGGTTGTCAGTCCTGTTTTTGATTCCTTAAAACGGTTACGTTCACACACAGTACGGTTATTTATGGGTGTGACAACCGCATTCTGTAGCCGAACTCACACCTGTAAACTTTCAGGATTCACAACCGCATTCTCGGAACACACGCGCTGTGTGAACGGAACAGGACTGGACAACTAGTTGTCTGTCACATCATACAGTGCAAGAGAGTCGCTCTGCCGCACAAACGCATGTCTAATGTGTGTAACGAGTTTTCATGTGTGGTTTCGGTAACTTACAGTGACGGAGAAATGATCTGTGTAATCTGAAAGTTTTCGATCCAGTCAGTTTTCCACCGAAGCTGCTACCATCAGTTTTGTGTTCTGCGCGCGACTCAAATATGCTCCGCTCTCTACCCAAATTTAAAAGCTGCTGTCGGTTAATGAAGATTTGACGGAAGAACTCGCAGCTCAATTGGACGATTGATCGGCGGTCTCTAAAAAGGCAGATCTCAAAAAAACGATCTCAAGCTGATGACGAGCCTGCCGTGAGAGGTTTGGCACGACATGCAGAGTCACTGTCTCAGTCCGGCATGGGTAAAATAATTATAATGCTGAAGGTGAGGTACTCACAGATGGACTGACACGAAATGTAGTAATTACACCATAAATGCATATTATTAAAGTCTACTGTGTTTCACAGTCAACACATATGGCTTTTTGGCTAAGTTTAAAGGAAAAGAGCACTTTTAGTTAAAGAAGGCAATAATAGATGGCACTCGTGGAGGTAGGAAAACACGGATCAGTAGCGGACTCTTCTGTGAAAGCACAGTCTGTGCTGCTTGCCCTCGCACAAGAGTCACCTAAGAGGGGAAATTCCCCCCCATTTTCAAAAATGAAATTCAGGCCCTGAATAAATGTCTAAAAATCCTGATTGGAGTATCACTATAAATAGTTATAAATGATAAAAAGAAGGCTTTAAAAAGATCGGTGATTGGTATCGGCAGATACTGCTTTCTGTGATCGGCCTCAAATCCTGATCGGAGCACCCCTAGTTACTGGTAAGGAATACGGGCTTGACTCCCGTTGCACGTTTATACAGACAGTATTCCAAACGCAACTGTAAGCTGCTGTGTGAACGGGACATTTAGAGACTCACACCTGTAAGTAAATGTGGTTGTCAATCCCAAAAACTGACAGTGTGAACGTAGCTATTTAAATGGTATATGGCCGACCACCATGTAATACTGATAACACCAACTACCTTGGGAAGCCTACAATGTACATTCCTTACCACCCAACCCTTCTGTAAACCATGAATCGGGAAAAAAACAAACAAAACAAAAAAACAAATTCAACTGTCACTCTCACCTGCCCAACCCTCATCAGGCCACCATTAAGTTTAGGCTGAGGGGCAGTAGGTAGGAGCCTGTCTCTGGCATCTCTCTTTTCTCTGCCCTCCCCAGCAGAGGGTTTCCCTGCCTCATCGGAGTCCACAGAGGGAGATGGTGTGCCTCGACCCACGCCTGACTCCTCAGAGGGCTTACCATCGGTCTCTGAGGGGCTGGGAGCAACGTTTAAGTTCCTGCCTCCACCTTCCCGCCAGCTACCCACATCTGAGTAGGGAATGGAGATAAAAGGCCAGAGTGAAGGTGATAATTATATTTTAGAACTCTCATTAAGAAATTGCTGAATATCTTTTTTTCCCCTAAACAGTTGCAACCAATATGTTAAACAGCTCATAAGAAAAGGTGAAGGATGATGGTCGTACTCTGAGGCCTGAGGCTGGGGCCCGGCCCATAGGGTTCATCTTCCTGATTGCCTGATTTCTCCTCCTCACCCGCCGCCTGCAGACTCGGAAACTCCTGATGGAACTGACTGCTCATCCGAGGAGCTCCTGTAGACACAGTGACACTTAAGCACTTGACTTCAGCAGTTCAAAATCTGTGGCTTAAATTTGTTTAGATAAGGATTTACAGTTCACCGAGTAGCATTTTGAGAGTGAACAACAATGAAAAGGTTTACAAAGGAAACGGCTTACCGTCCAGCTGCCCAGACTGTTTGCTGTTGGCCCAGGAGCGGCTGCCTCCCAGAGGGACATCAGAGGTCTGGGGCACAGTTGGCTTAGGCTGTGGTGGAGGGGTCTCTTGTTGCCTACAATCATTAAAAAAAAGTGCCAGTGGAACATAAGAATCTAATGACTGCAAAACATGCAAGACGATGTGAAAAGTATGTTTGGAACATCTAAAACTGATCTTTCAACAGGAACTACACCTATCATTTAAGAGGGTGGAGTTTTACCGTTCGTCTCCTGGTTGATCCTGTCTGGAGGCCCATCCGCTGCCGTCCTTGGGTACGATGCTAACGTTGGGATCGTTGCCTTTGTTCTCAGCTTTTAGGCTGGGCAGGTTAGCTGGGGGGGGCATGCGTCGACTGACCGCAACTTTGCCCAAACTTTGGAGCCCATGTCTGGCAGCAACTAAGTGGAAGAAAAGAAAGACATTTCAGTTTTTTTTGACCAAAAGTCATTTACATTTAGCAGATGCTTTTATCTAAAGCGACTTACAAATGATGACAATAGAAGCAATCAAAACCAACAAAAGAGCAATAATATGCAATAAAATGAACATCATTTGTACAGGAATATTGTTAATATGAGCAGTAATCTTACAACAAATGTTCTTGGGCAGTCTCTCTCTATCTTTAAGCTCATAGGAATGCACAGCAGTAACTGAGTGGACAAAGGCTGCTTATTTGATCCAGCGATGCAAAGGAGGCTGATCGGGGAGCTCAATGAACGACAGTTCATAGACTCCAGTGCATCACTTGACACTCTACTCAATGAACCATTCTTATTTTAACAGTTAGAGAGCAAATCATTAGAAGTTACCCAAGTCATGTGTAAGTCACGAAATGTGACTGTGTGTAGACCATCTGTATTAAAAGTTATTGAATAAATTTTAATGTAAGCATTTTTCTGTTTGCTTTATCGTCTTTATGCAAAAAGCAGTTAGCCATTTTAGGTTTTGAGGTGAAATGTAACCTGAACATGTTCTTGACAGCTTTTGAGAGATTCATCCCACCACAGGGAACTCCGTAATTAACAACAGCTTGTTTGTAAGAATGGTCAGTTGACTCACCTGCAGTTTTCTGGGTCTCCAGAGACTTGCCCTTGTACGTGTTGAAGAGGCTAAGGGTTGCATACTTGGTCTTGCCATCCTTTGCCTTGGTGTTCTGCCCTGACTTCTCGGACATTTCGCTGGAAACTCATTGAGTCTGGTCCTGCGGCCTCACCCCTCAGAACCAGCCCCTTCGAAGAGCCCAAGAAATAAAATATTCAGTGAGCAGATGGTAAACCAGATACTTTCTCTAATATTCCACCTGCACCTCTTAAGCAGTATTTCCTGTCAGGCTTAAAAGCAGGCTACAACACAACACCAGGAGCCATTGTTGAGCAACTACAGAGACAAACAGACAAATGTGCATGTGAGCAAGCAACCCTCCCCGAATACAACGTATGCGAATGATAGCCTTTATACTCGTTTCACAAACATTACTAAATTAGATTCAGTGGTTCAAACTGGAAGGTTTATTCAAGGCCATGCACCAAACTTGCAGAGAAATCATTAAGTGCACAATCAGGATTTTATCAGACTTTCCTACTTCCAGGTTAAGGCAGAATCTTATGTGCTGAATTTATTACATATATACACGAACACTTCCAAAACATTGACCAACAAGTTTGACTAGCCATTATATCGGTCTATTACAACTTGCGTGTCTTTGAAGGAAATGGACTGCAAAGGCAGTCAGAACTCTACATCTTTGAATCCCAATGGTTCAAATCGATGAAGCACATCATGTTGCCATGCCGATGTCAGTGTAGATGGTGAAGTGACAGTAAGGGGAGGGGGTGCGACAATCTACCGTGAGCCACATGGGGCTCCATTCATAATTGATGTGGTGTAAGGGCTTATGCCAAGACAGCACAGTTGAAGCAACAGGGTCACCTCATCATGTCCATACACAATTAGATTCACTGCACACTGAGAATTATGACGATAATGTGGTATTGTTCACAACTACATTTATATATTTTTTCCACTCAGTTTCACTTTTTTTTTAATATATATAATGCTATCCAGAACACTGAAATCTCCAAAAGTCGTTAACAGCCGTTAAACTTAACATCATGCAAACCAGCTCTACACACACACACACACAAACTAAAAGTCACATGATAAGACAGAAGGTGTAATGAAAGTGAAAGCGGTCATCTTTTACTTTGGGTTATCGGCATTTACTGACAAACATTTCATTAAGGAAAAACTGCTGCTTCACCGGTTAAATGCCAGCTTCCTCTCAATCTACACCTCAAAAAATTTAATCTTTTTAGCTGGCTGGTGTATTGTAAAGGGAGGAAAGGTTACAGGTAGTTAAATGCAATCAATGGGACTACGCAAAGGCCAGATCAACAAGAAGCCATATTAGTATCGATTATAAACGAGAATTGTTAACGATTGTTAATGTCTACACAGCTGACAGCTTTAGCTGTTGTAGTTTGTTCAAGCTGTGCACGAAATGGACACTGCTTTTCTGCACTTTTACTTCACGTGTCTCCGCTCTCTCATGCTGCTCAACTGAGCTGCGTTTATCAGGTGTGCCTGCAGCGCTGCTGTTCAGCAGAGATGAGGACGGTTTGAAAGTCTTTTTTCCACTAAAATTTTGATGCGCATCGTCTCAGTTTATTACGTCAACATAAAAGATGTGATGGCAAAACAATCAAAAAAAAGTTATTACATGCAAAATTTGTAAATGTAAATTTTAGGGATGCTCTGATCACGATTTTTGCAGCCGATACCGAGTACCGATTTCTTGTCATGGTGATCGGGTTTAAAAATCAAAACGAGGCGCGGGTGTTTTTATATCACTGTATTTCTGAAGGAAGACTATCTTTAGAAAATTTTTTCATTCATTTTAATTTCATCTTGCATGTTATATGCCTGATAAAAGCAGCGTTTGTGAGCTCAGCGCTGCTCTGTGTACAGCCATTAGTGGGGAAACCTGTTTCTCCCGCTTTAAAGCACCTCCTGCTGGCAGAGAATTAATTTGTATTTTCAGTAAGTCCGTCTGATTTACGCAGCAAACATACTTTTCTTCTCCTATATCCACGGGTGGGGTAATAAAAAATGCATTCTGATTATTTGCGGGTGGGTCGCGGGCGAATAAAATAAATCAATCATGTACGTCGTCACGCGTTGACGTCATCAAATTGTGATCGGTTCGTGAGATCGGCCAAGTGTAGTGAGTACCGATCGAGTCATAAAATGTGATTATCGGCCGATACCAATCTCCGGCCGATCGATCGGAGCATCCCTAGTAAATTTCTCTAGTCGCCAGTGGCGACCTCAGCAAAAACTTCACTTGCAAATTAATATATTGGTCACAAATGTGACCGTTTTAGTCGAAGTCTGGAGCCCTGAGGCATGTGAAATATTTCACTCATGTTTTAAACAATAGTTACTTATTATTATTGTTGTGTAAACATTAATTTATTAAGTATTGATGAACTTGGTCTGAGAGATTGAGATGGATTTGAGATTCAATTAAGCATCTTTATTCTTTCAACCCCAACCTCCGGCAACCAATCATCCTTCCATCACCTGGCCATCTGCCTACTAAATTCACAAGCCAATCACTGCTTTCCAGTGAAATTCCCAAATGAGCATGCAAGAAATCACTGGCATTGAGCTGCAGCCCCTGAGGGATGAGAAAAGTCAATATCTTTTCAATAGATTGGTGAGGGGCATCCTTAAATCAATTAAGAACATACTCTAATATGAAACCTCATAGTTCAACCAGATCCAGTGTTACCAGGAAGCCTCAAAACATTCACTTGATCTCCTGTTCCTGTGGCTTTGTTTCTTTCTTTGTTAAAAGCACCCCTTAAGGCTTGTCTTATTTCAAACAATGGTGTTCTCAGTGGCATTTCCTCTTATGAATATGTAAAGCTCTTTAAGTGGAAGTTAAATGATCAAGTCTTCCTCTACTGACGCTCACAAGAATCTTTCCTCCTGCTGCCACTGTGATGAATCAAATCTAACTCGTTCCAGATTCTGCTGAAAGACTCTTGTTGTGCTTTGAGCCCAAAGGTTTCTGACTTGCTCAGTTTAATGCCATTTTCACATCTATATTTTCAAGGCCCATGAAACATCATCATACATAGAGAAAGGAGTCATTTGTGACGTGGATCACAAAAGAATGAAGTATACATTAAGATAACGGCAAGTTGTATAACCCCCATCAAGCCTGCAATATATAGTTATATTCAGAAAAATCACATTTTTATAAACATTTAAATTTCATAGAAAAAATATAAAGGTTTGTATGCGCTTTATGTAATGCGTCATATTTTACATCAGGTTTTCACCAAGTTTTTTCCATGTTGATAATTGTAGATGCTTTAGTTTCATGCATCAAATACGATACAGAAGAATTTCCAGGATTAAACCCAACATATGCATAAATCTAACACTGATGGGGACTAAGCATGCAGTTCTATGGAGCAGTGTTTCCCAACCGGGGTGCCGTCTGTTGAGAGCAGGGTTGTACCGAATATCTATACTTTTCAAATTGTCATATCGAAGTTAGAAATTCAAATATTGTGACAGAATTAATGTTGTAGGGTGCCACAAGTTTGTTAATTTCCAAAGGGTGCCGCGACTAAAAAAGGTTGGGAAACACTGCTATGGAGTGCCTCTTAGCACACTTGCATGTGGTAAAGTGGAAGTTGTGGATGCTCATTTGCATGCACTGATTTTAATGTTTTGTTTGATATACTTGGAAAAGTCATGCGAGCCATCACCTTTGGCTAACCTACCTCTGCACAACCAAGAATAGGACACTGGGTAACTACTGCCTTCCTTCACTTCGAACATGCCTTTCAGATTTAAAATGCAACAATATAACTATCGGTTTGAAGTCGTGTGGATGTATCAAATATGTGATTTAACAAACCAAACAATTCTCCAAACAACCCCAATAATATTTTACCGGCAAAATGAGTCATTTATTAAAAATGGCTGGTCAATTGGGCCTTGTGAGGTGGCCTCCAAACCCCCATTCACCCCAAATTCTGCCCCAGGCTATCCGGTTATCATCTTTCAGCAAAATATAAACTAAACCTGCCCATATTAATGCCGACCTATGTGAGAGAAAAGAAAACTGGTTTTGGTTGAGTGATTTGTCGTTGCTCATGGCAGTGCTAACATTAGCCAGACTGAGCCTTTTCTTCTAAAAGAGCAACAGCAGAAGCAGCACGCTGACTAGCCGTTAACATACCTGTCTCCGCCGGTCCTGTTTCTCTCTTCAAGTATATCGTTTATTCCGTCCAGAAGGTCTGTGTCCTGGCCCTTTGTATTGTGTGTTTAAGCGTGTGTGTGAGAGAGCGAGGCCGGCTGTGGATTACAAAAACTCGTGCTATGCTAATCCCAGCTAGCCGAGAGGTTAGCGACCCACAAAAACCTCCTCCACAAAAGAGAGAGAAGCGTTTATGTCCCTCTCCCTGTCGTTTTCTTTCTCTGTATGTGTCTCTGGTCGCGCCGCCGGTGTGAGGCGAGGAATAACGGGCGGTTGGCGGTTTCTCGTGCGCTCGAGAGAGGGCCCCGCGCTCGCGCCGCGGCCTGTCGCACAATCAAAGATGGCAGAGCGCCAATCCACGAGAGCCTGACGTCACCGCGTACAGGCGCAGCGCAGCGGCTGAGGAAGCGTCTTTAACATGTGAGACACAGCAGACGGCGCCCTTTATACTGTTTGGATGGAGCTTGACTGTCGTTTTTTTTATTAGAACAAAGTGTACAAATGTGTACACAAAAGTGCCAGAGTGTACATAGCAATCATTCATTGATAAAAAAATTCTAAATTAATTAAATATATATTCAATTTTTTATTAATGTTCTCCAAACAGGTGCTGTTGTCCTTGGTCTCCTGTTGGATCCTGAATATTTCTGAATTTTCCCAAAATAATAAAATGATTTTTATTGGAATTTTATACATATATCAAAATTATTCATCTTGATATCTGTTTACCTTTATATAACATTTTCCACATTCACCCAAAAAACCTTTGTGTATACAATTACATAAGAGATGGACAATTGATTCTTATTTTCTTCTCAGAAATATCTCGATCAATATCCAAATTAAACTTTTAGCCTAGCTGTATATATACAAGGTAATATTGTAATGTAACCTCTTTTACTTAATTATTTAAACTATAATTTTAATGAATACCCCAGGCTTTAGTTTTTAAATTATTATATCCACAAAAAGCTTTATGAGTAGATGTTTCAGCTATTATAATATATCTCTCATAACATATCGTTCAAGGAATAGTTTCCCCACCAAACCGATGACTTTCTTTCTTCTGTGGAGCACAAAATTTGGCAGAATGATGACAGTGGTATTTTTCATACAACCAGGGCATTTTAAGCCTAAAAACGCATCATGAAAGTATCATAAAAGTCAGCAATGGTTTGTGTAGATGGTTTGTGAGAATTTTTACTTTGTTTCCCAAGTAAAATGTAGCTAGGTACACGTTTTGTCATGAGCGAATTAAAGCTGCCTAAATTGTGGTTAGATTTAAGATTTGTAATGTTGGTATTTCTGCATTTTTCATTTAATTTTTCTCACATAGTAAGTGTCCTAATAGTGACCTAATAAATTTTATAGCCTATCCTTGCTTATCCACAAGAAATGTGCTGTCATGTGCCGATACATTTATTTACAGCAGTAAACATAAACATGCACACCTCACTTTTTTAGGCTTACTACACCGCAACATACAATAAAAAATTCATTTACAATGAGATGCACTTATGTATATTATTGACTGTGAGCATTGATTCAGTAAACTAAACGTTGTTCCACGAAAATGTACTGTTATTTTTATTGACATATTTTTCTTATTGATACTACAACTGAGAGGGTAATTTCTTCATAATAATACAGTAACATTTTGATATTACTTGGAACAAATCAAGTATGCTCAATAGTTAAAAATCACGTCTGTAGTGCTGAAAAAGTATTTTTATACTTTTCATTTAATGCTCAGAAAGTTACAAATACTGTATATTTACTAAAATTATTTGTTACATTTTTAAATTGCATTAATAGCTGGAAGTTATACATCTATAATGCAACTCAATAAAAGTAATAAAAGAGTTTGATAGTGCATGCTGGTTCTCAACAATTAAACCAATTACATACAAAACTACACATAAAATCACTTTTATAATAAAATGTATATTATGTTCAAAATTTTAAGGCACATGCTGATAAATCAAAAGAATTCTTCCAAGTCTAAAAATCAGTTTCAGTATTACTACAGCAAATTCACAAAATGTAAGAATCTCACACACTACTTTTTTGTCATTGTTACAGTTTAGCCTATAGTTGACTTGTGTTGTCAGATTTTATACAACTATGTTATGTTTCTGATTCACATTGCACGATCACTGTGTGGTCAGTGGCAATGGTACAAAAGCCCTGATCTTGTCCAGGAGTGATGAAGGGTCTGCTATGACTGTGTGCAGACTGGCTCTGCTGTAATACAGAGCAGACAGCAGCGCTGCAACAGACACTGAGAATATGAGTGAATGAGAGGAGCGCTGTGACTGCGGCTCTGGTGTACAGCGTGTTCTCAGGGGCTCGTTGACTCGATCCCACTGAGTCAGGATGGCCTGACGTGCACCTTCCCATCGGCCCGGCCCGTGAAGACGAAACTGGTACGGGGTGCAGGGCCCAAAGATGACATTCAGAGCCAGTCTAGGGTCTGTCAGGAGCAACTTCAGGATAGAAGGATGGACTCCCACTTGTTTAGCCAACTCATCCATGTAGGGGATGTAGTCCACCTGGATGGTGTGTCTCTGGGCAGCCACATACCTGCACGAGAACACGATTAAGATCAAAATCCACTGAAATTACATACTTTAATTGTAGAAATTGTGTGAATGCTGTGTTATATTGTCATGTGAGATGTTAAGTGTGGAGAACCTTCGAGCCATTGCTTCCTCTTTTGCTTTAATGTCCTTCATCATTGCACTCATTGGAGGCAGTTTGCATCGACCTAGTGAGGATATCACAGCTTTGTTACATACAAAAACACTGTATACTTATGAACATTAATAATGTTCTTACATGTTTATGTTTCACTTAAAGATTAATGTGTTTTTAAGGGTAATGTCATGAAAAAATATAAAGGGTTTTATTTACATTATAAACAAGGGTTTGACAAGGGTATTTGTACTGTGTAGATAAACTGTAACTTCAAAACTCAAAACTTCCAAACTAAGAAGACCGAAATAAGCTGCAAGAACATCATGTCTTAAGCTTCAGTAGCATTAATCTAAATCTACAGATAAAAGGGCAAATGTTTTTGATGCAAGAAACATTTTGTCATATTGTAAAAGGTTAATTATAATCTTTAATAAAATTATAATGTACAGGATTGCAGGTGGACATCTCATATTTCTCTGTGTACGCTCATAAAATAAAAGTTTCAAAAGGTGGGTTTCGCAACAGTGTCATAGAAGAACCATTTAGGGTTCCCCAAAGAACCTTTCAGTGAACAGTTCTTAAAATAACCATTTTTTCTTAGTGTGAAGAACATTTAAAACCTATTTCCTCTATAGAATCTTTTGCACAATAGAAAGGTTCCATGGATGTTAAATGTTCTTCATGAAACCATAAATTCCACTGAAGAACCTTTATTTTTTAGAGTGTAGGAGGTCAGCGTCATGTTTGATACCTTTAAAAACACGTGTGGCCCAGCGCGCCTGCATCTCAGAGATGGGCATAATGGCTCCCAGAGGCTGGATCAGACCAATCACGGCTAAAGTTGGCCGCTCCAGTCCTGGGGGATATACATATTTGTACATTGATACTTTGTTCTTTGAGACAGGAATTACATGTGAAGACAGGAAGGGGAATGAGAAAGTGTAGCCTGTGGCAAACACCACCAGATCAATGTCATCTTCAACAGTGCCATCCTCAAACACAACACTTGATCCACGAAACTCTTGAACGTTTGGCTTGACTGAGACGGTACCGGAGAGGATGCGGTTTGGTAAATCATCATTGACCATGGGATGTTGGCTAAAAACTCTGCCAGATAAAAAAAAACACAAAACAGCACTATACAACACCATATAATATTGAAGAGAATATGCTTCATTTAACTCTGACCAACATCATCAGAGTCTTATTTCTTCCAGTGTTCACAGTACCTGTGCGCAGGCTGCAGCCCATAGAGCTTGTGGTCAAACCGTTTATTGAGTTGTTTCTCTCACAGTTTGTTAAGAAATCCAGGTGGCAACCATCCAAGAAACAACATTAGCCCTCTGTTATTAAACATCATATCGAAAGGAACACCTTTGTCTCCTACACGATTCAATATCCAAGATCCCTTTCGGGTGCTCAGATAAACCTGAAATATAACAAACAAGTCAAATGCATCTCTTTTTTTCTGGTACTTTTGTGGCCCTTTAAAAGTCCCTGTTCACTGCAGTGCATGTAAAACCACCTTCAAAATGTCTCTTTTTGTGTTTCGCAGAGAAAATAAATTGTAACATCATGGAAAATCATGAAGGTAAGACAACAAAGAGTTAAATTTTTGGATTGAGCATTTATTTAAAGTAAAAAATATCTATATATTTATCAAACAATGTGATTGGTGTAATGTAATATTGATAAAATATGTCATGTGGAATAATAATTCATAATCACTATAATTATTTATACTTAAGTTGTGGCATATCACCTGTTTGGCCATTCTGCTCAGCTCCACAGCAATATCTCCTCCAGAGTTCCCAATACCAATCACAACTACCCTCTTCCCTCGCCATTCTTCAGGGTTTTTGTAGTCACGACTGTGGAAGATTTTTCCCTTAAACGTGTCTATTCCTAAATAGAGGATTTTAAACAGGTAGCCACTATAACATGAAAACACACATATATGACTATTGCATCCATGAAACTCTGCTGCCTCTACTGATTCTGCAGCCAATGAGCTTAATTTCTTAACATTTAGCCTAAATAATCTGGTTCAGTGTTTACTGTAAGATGGCCCTGCAACTATTAGAGTTCCTCTGAAACCCTCCACCTCCCCCAGCTCCACCTGTCTAGATCTGATACAAGATTTTATGATGCCTATTTGTGCCTGTTTAGCTCCATGTTTGTACTGGCAGCAGCAACTCCATACTTGCTCTGGAACACCAGCAGCATTAACAGCAGCAAGTGTAGCAGATCTAATCCACTAAGACCAAATATTGTAACATTGTCATATCCATTAACATGCTAAAACTATCTCAAGAGTTGTCATGATTGAAATCCAGTTATATGTAATGTAGCAGTTAATATATAACTTTTTATAATAACTTTAGTGTCTCATTGCATATGCATTTTGAACATGATGTTCTATTAAAAAAGTTCGGGAGGAACATGTTTAGATAATAATTAATTACCACCATGGAAACATTCAGATAATCAAATTAATTACACAATACAAGGTATATATACAGCCGACTCATCCCTCCACCATACCAGCTCCTCTCTCTCAATTATTACTATCCCAGATAAGGATGAGGGGGAGTACTCTGGGTTTGGGCTAAATCGCGAGCTCGGATCCCTCCCCTCGGACAGCATGCCAAATATGCATACTCTTCGCTTTATCTGATTATATGTAAGTGAGAACTCATGAACTGATGTTGAATCATTCTTTGCAAGCCCCGTAAACTTACTAATTATAAATAATATTTCTATTCAACATTAAAATGAGAGGGGCTTTTCACTTACTGTACAGCAGAGTTGTGATAAAGCCTAATGACTCTTGTACACCCAAAGTTTATGAGTGTTTGGCCTTTATTGACATAATGCTGTTGCACTTTGCACATTTGCTTAGTCATCACATGTACTGCACCTGGAAAGTCCTGTAGAGGGAGATGAGGGTGACAGTGGTGTCCGGTGCAAACCATTACAGCATCAAACACCTGCTTCTCTCTCCGACCATCTTTGGACTCTGTCTCTACATCCCACTGTCCAGAGTGAGGGAAGTCTGGCCTTGGTGTAACATGAAGGACTTTTGTCTAGGAAACACAAAACATAAACTGGGGAATTCTTGAAATACAGTACTGTATATTCATAACTTCACAGTTTTAATGTGTCAATAAAACCTTTCAGTTCTGACCTGGAAGCGCATGTGCCGTTTGAGCTGGAAGTGGTCAGCATACATGCGGAAGTAGTCCATGATGAGGGAGTGGTGCATGTAGTTTGGGAAGTGGGCAGGAATGGGGAAATCACTGTAGCACATCATCTCCTTTGAAGTGTTGATAATCAAAGAGTGGTAAATGCTAGCACGATCTGGATCTGGATTTTCCTAAGATGGAAAGACAAAGAAAATTGGATCAGTTTCTAGGAGCATGTTGTTTATTACTTCTCTGCAACAATCTGTGCCTCAGGGATCAGTGCTTGGCCCCCTTTTTTTTCACATGCACAACTTCAATGGACCCAATCATTTAGAGATATCTCACCTTAAACCTCCAGAGTCCTCCAGTGTCATCACTAGTCTCAAAGCACACTGGCTCCAGACCTTCATCCAGGCAGCATTTGATGCAGGCCAGCCCAGAGGTTCCTCCTCCAATCACAACAACACGTTTAGCCATGATGATCCAAAACAGTCAGACTTTAGGCAGATGCAGGAAGTAGAAATAAATAATGAGATTTATACTTGTTTCTATACAGTATGTCATACATCTCAACTGTGGTAGAGAATATGTTGATTTTACCTCCTATAGAAAAAAGCAGTGAAATACTGTATAAAACTATTTAACTGGTGTCTAGAAAAAGACAAAAAAATATATCATAGTATATATAGGCTTTACTTTGAACATATGTGTATGATGACAGTGCTGTTAATAGGAAGTTACCACAATGTACTGCAGAAACAATTAACTTTTGTTAAGTTAAACAAAAATCTTTATATGTAATTTCATAATTACTTATACTGTCTTTGAAATTTGGTTAAAGTGTACTGCTTAATGTACTGACAAGTATTTGTGGTAAACTAAATTATATTTGATGTCTTCTCAATAGAAACTTGTATGCCATTGTCACAATCTCTAACTGGAGTGCCCACGAGCTCTGCTAGAGGGCACAGCATCCCGTACCCTTTACCAATCAACCCGGGCTCCATTTCCCATAATCCTTTGCTTGGACTCATCAGAGCTCATCATCAGTTCACAGCTGTTCCTATTAGGACGACTATAAGAATTGCACACACACATACTCTGCTGGTGATTGTTTAGCCTGCAAACGTTTCTTGTCATCTGCCTTGCCTTGCCTTGCCTTTTGTGTTTTTGATCATGGACTTTTAATCTGTTTTGTGATTGTTTGCTGCCTGCCCTGACCTTCGCCTGTTTTATGGATTACTCTTTTGCCTCTGCCTTGGATTACTATTGTTTGCTGTTGTTTCAACCCTGCCTGTCTGACTACGTTTTGCTCAAATAAAGCCTACATTTGGATTCATCACTTCGTTGTCATGCCTCCATGTTACAGTCATGTATTTAAATATATTTGTAATTAAACATTTGTAACGATTTGGTTGCAGTTTAGTACTTTTAAAATATATTAACTTTAAACATAATATTGAATAACACTACAGTTCAAATTATAATCTTTACATGTGCTTTACTATGTTAGTCAACACATCAAGATAAGTACTTCATTGAAGCATGACAAAAGCATATGAAACAAATTGTTTATCAAACATAAGGATTTGAAATAAAACTTTTAATTTGATCAATTTACTTAAATTTACTCTCTTTAAGTACACTGCTTTTTATTTATCAATATTTTATTACCTGCAAGTACTGTTTTTTTTTAAATATACTTTTAAGATTTTAAGTACACTACATGTGCACATTCAATACAATTAATTACTCTTCTTTTTGACAAGGGAACCTAAGCATAAAACGTAGTGGTCCATTATTGTTCCTATGCAATCCTTTGTGTATTCACTACACAGTAGATAGTACTATAGGCCTCCAATTCTTGTATGCATATGGCCCTGTTGCATCATCACTAGTGTATCCTATGTCAAAATGTACATAGTGAAATCAACCTGCTAAACACTGACAGTAGCTTCTGAATGTGATCGTCTACAACATACATTCTCTGCAACTATTTGCATAACATAACAGATAATTGTTTTAAGAACAACAGTGAAATTAAATAATATTAACTGGACATTAACTGCTCAAATAGTTACAGTGGGTACGGAAAGTATTCAGACCCCCTTAAATTTCATTAATGAGGAAAAAAAATTAACTTAAATGATTTTAGCAAATGGCTGCAATATAACAAAGAGTAAAAAATTTAAGGGGGTCTGAATACTTTCCGTACCCACTGTATATTAGTGTCAATAAAATGTTTGTGGCATTGTATCTTACCAAGTGTGAAGCAGCGAGTGAATAAATTTTATTTATTCAGTTCAGAGTAATGGGAAAATTTCACCACACCCCCTTTAGGGTTATAAAAGAGGCAGGGATTAATTTATTTGTAACCCTATCTGGTCAATGTTCAACTAGATAATGTTGACATAGTTTTAGATATTTAGTTGTAGTTTCATCTTCACACAGTCCTGTTAATCATATGAAACAACACACATCCACAGAAACACAGAAGTGTTACCCAGGATGCATTATGGCACAAAAGTATACGTTTTTATGTTTATTAGTTTTGATTTCATATTACAGAGCTCCTCTGCATGGTGAAAATTTATATTTCTGTTTTACTTTGCCTGCAAAAGTTTTTGAGGGACCACAAATGCATTGAAATCCTCCCATCTCATATTTTTTCTATCACCACATCACCTTATAGTTTCTTTATTCTAGTTAACCTAAAAATGTGTTACAGTTCATATTGCTCTGCATACTGGATCTCACACAGTGCACTTTATACAGGCAGCAACAACATATCAAGTGTGTACTAAGAGCAGTAAACACGCAATAAACATAAGACATAAAATAAGTGAACTTTTTTGAAACACGACAAAAGACTATTAAAACATTGATTTAAAAGCTACTTTAAAACTTTCAATTTGACATAAAAGCGCACTATTTAAAACAATCATCAGAGTCTACTTTAAGTACACAAGTTGCCTTTTATTTCATTAATATTTATCTAGGAGTACATATTTAGAGAAAATTAACATGCTAAAAAGACTTGCTAACAACTGCAAAAGTTGAAAGTGGTGCATACTTGTAATTTTAACACAACAACCATCAGTTTGTTGCTAGTGAATTAAAACCACACAATTATATTAAAATAATTACATACACATTACAGGCACATAAAATCAGTTATTTTACAATCAAATTAAATGCTCATTATACACAAACTGTGTTATAAATGTTAAGGTACTTGCTGATAAATATCAATATCAAGCATATGCACTGTATCAATTTAGACATTTTCATGATGTTGACTATGGTTTACCACAATGGAAAGACATTTCTTAAGATGTTATATTTCATATAAATGTTTTTGATTCACATTGCATGATCACTGTGTGGTCAGTGGCAATGGTACAAAAGCCCTGATCTTGTCCAGGAGTGATGAAGGATCTGCTATGAGTGTGTGCAGACTGGCTCTGCTGTAATACAGAGCAGACAGCAGCGCTGCAACAGACACTGAGAATATGAGTGAAAGAGAGAAGCGCTGTGACTGCGGCTCTGGTGTACAGCGTGTTCTCAGGGGCTCGTTGACTCGATCCCACTGAGTCAGGATGGCCTGACGTGCACCTTCCCATCGGCGCGGCCCGTGAAGACGAAACTGGTACGGGGTGCAGGGCCCAAAGATGACATTCAGAGCCAGTCTAGGGTCTGTCAGGAGCAACTTCAGGATAGAAGGAAGGACTCCCACTTGTTTAGCCAACTCATCCATGTAGGGGATGTAGTCCACCTGGATGGTGTGTCTCTGGGCAGCCACATACCTGCACGAGAACACGATTAAGATCAAGATCCACTGAAAATACATACTTTTAACTGTAGAAATTGTGTAAGTGCTGTCTTATATAGCCTTTTTAAATCAAATGTGAAGAACCTTCGAGCCATTGCTTCCTCTTTTGCTTTAATGTCCTTCATCATTCCAGTCATTGGAGGCAGTTTGCACAGTCCTATGTGAGAATATCACAGCTTAAGTACAAAAACACTGTATACGTAATGTTCTGCCATATTCATATAGGTCATGTACAAGTACTACAGTATGTTGTCATACTATAACTTTCAGAACTCAAAACCAGTCCAAACTGATGATGATGAAAAACAAAATTATTGTCTAAAGTTCTTTGTTTAATTCTACAGGGTGTAAAATCCTCACGAAAAACTGTATTACAACATTCTGGTGAAAATATACATTAGGAACACCCTGTATTTTTCTGTGTAGATGGTCAGCGTCATGTTTGATACCTTTAAAAACACGAGTGGCCCAGCGCGCCTGCATCTCAGAGATGGGCATAATGGCTCCCAGAGGCTGGATCAGACCAATCACGGCTAAAGTTGGCCGCTCCAGTCCTGGGGGATATACGTATTTGTACAGGGATACTTTGTTCTTTGAGACAGGAATTACATGTGAAGACAGGAAGGGGAATGAGAAAGTGTAGCCTGTGGCAAACACCACCAGATCAATGTCATCTTCAACAGTGCCATCCTCAAACACCACACTTGATCCACGAAACTCTTGAACGTTTGGCTTGACTGAGACGGTACCGGAGAGGATGCGGTTTGGTAAGTCATCATTGACCATAGGATGTTGGTTGAAAACACTGGGGAAAAACAATAGACATTATATAATGTAATTGATTGCAGCAAAGAAGATTTCATTGATTCTGTCTTGTTCTACTTGTATAAAGATGACCTCTTCATGCTAAGGTACCAATACTAAGAATGACCAACATCATCAGAGTCTTATTTCTTCTAACGTTCACAGTACCTGTGCGCAGGCTGCAGCCCATAGAGCTTGTGGTTGAACCGTTTATTGAGTTGTTTCTCTCCAAAATTGTTGATAAATCCAACAGGCAACATTTGAATAAGCCAATTACTCATTCTCTTATTAAATAACATATCAGCTGGAACACCATTGTCTCCTACACGATTTAGTATCCAAGATCCCCTTCGGGTGCTCAGATAAACCTGGAATTAAAGTAAGGGAAACAATGTGGAAAACAGAGGCTTCAATAGAAGTAAAATAATTCACACACTATAATTTTTTTTATTCTGTAGATGTAGCATATCACCTGTTTGGCCATTCTGCTCAGCTCCACAGCAATATCTCCTCCAGAGTTCCCAATACCAATCACAACTACCCTCTTCCCTCGCCATTCTTCAGGGTTTTTGTAATCACGGCTGTGGAAGAATTTTCCCTTAAACGTGTTTATTCCTAAAGAGAGGATTTGAATGAGGCCTAGTGACTCTTGTACACCAAAGTTTATTATGATTGTTTAGTCTTTATTGACATAGTGTTGTTGCACTTTGCACATACACTCTATTTGCTTAGTCATCACATGTACTGCACCTGGAAAGTCCTGTAGAGGGAGATGAGGGTGACAGTGGTGTCCGGTGCAAACCATCACAGCATCAAACACCTGCTTCTCTCTCCGACCATCTTTAGACTCTGTCTCTACATCCCACTGTCCAGAGTGAGAGAAGTCTGGCCTTGGTGTAATATGAAGGACTTTTGTCTGGGAAACACAAAACATGAACTTGTGAATCTTTGAAAACAGTATAGTATGTTGAAAACTTCACAGTTTTAATGTGTCATCAAAACCTTTCAGTTCTGACCTGGAAGCGGATGTGCCGTTTGAGCTGGAAGTGGTCAGCGTACATGCGGAAGTAGTCCATGATGAGGGAGTTGTGCATGTAGTTTGGGAAGTGGGCAGGGATTGGGAAATCACTGAAACACATCATCTCCTTTGAAGTGTTGATAATCAAAGAGTGGTAAATGCTAGCACGATCTGGATCTGGATTTTCCTAAGATGGAAAGACATGCAAAGTGGATCAGTTTCTTGCAGCATGTTGTTTATTGCTGCTTTGCAATAAAATGTACCTCAGGGCTCAGTGCTTGGCCCCGTTTTTTTCTTCATATGCACAACTTCAATGGACCCAATCATACAGACATATCTCACCTTAAACCTCCATAGTCCTCCAATGTCATCACTAGTCTCAAAACACACTGGCTCCAGACCTTCATCCAAGCAGCATTTGATACAGGCCAGCCCAGAGGTTCCTCCTCCAATCACAACAACACGTTTAGCCATGATGATCCACAATAGTCAGACTTAAGACAGCTGGACATGATAGAAAAATCTGAATTAAAGGAATAGTTTATCAAAAATGGTCACCAATTATGCACATCCTAGAAGTTCCAAACCCATGATTTTCATTCTATTACGGAATGTTGTCATCTGTTCAGAAGCATGAAACTATACACCAGTGTTATTTCCATCATATCTCAAATTATGCACGTTTTTATAGATTTGTTATGCGTTTGATAGCTTTCTGTGGCGGAAATTACATTTTATATCACACAACAAAATTTTTGCATAATTTTACAAACTGAAATTTATGCAGAGAAAATGTTCTGTTCACACGTGACATTTTCCTTTTATATCTCAAGCTTAATGTACTGTATACATTAACATGCATTAGGCTATGTAATATGCCAACTGGTTGGAATGCATCTACACTTTCCATCCCTGTGTTTAACCCTTTCAAAAAAACAAAAAAAAGCCATGCATATTACATAACATGTTGTGTATATCATCTCAAATAAATTCACATTTATTTGATGCTGCCTTGGTAAAAGATGTGTTAAAGCACTTCCAAGAAAATGAGAAAGACCACCAGAAAGACGGTCATAAATCGGGGAGAAACACGAGTGTATTCCAGCGGAATAATTCATGGGATGTTGTTCATTAAATCAAGTGACCACAAGACCATTTTGCTGATCAGAATAGTGATGTACATGACTCAGGGAAGGGTCAGCTGACCCATACTAAACAGTGAAAGTTTTCACAGATCAGAATAGTGATGTTTGTGACTCAGGGAAGGGTCAGCTGACCCGTACTGAACAGTGAAAGTTTTCACAGATCAGAATAGTGATGT